ACTTGGATTATTTTTGCACATATTATTTTATTCATTCTTTACTTGGGCTTTTCTGGATTTTAGACAGGACTTATGTCGATTGCAGTTCTTGGCTTAGAACATTTTTTCTTGATCGGATTATCTGACCTTAGGCCTTACCCTTGCGGGGGTTGAGGCTTCGGGAATGATTTTATTCCTAGATCTAAGTGGAATGTTTTGAGCCGGCTTTGTAATTGCACTTAAGTCTATGTTCAATATCCGATAAGCGCTTCACATTATAGTTCTTTGGTTGTTGCTTACTTTTTATACAAGTGAGGAGCTTGTTCCCGCTTGTTCAGACGTTTGTATTCTTTAATTATTTAATAAAATGCATTTAAAAAAAAAAATCAGCGCTTGTGTCTTCCTTGAAGCTCTTACAGCTATAAAAGCTCCGCCATTCAGGCAAAACAAATATCCTGCTTGTGATTTTGAATCGTCTCTATCGGTTTGGAAGCTAGCATCGGTGTAACCGACCACCTTTAGCTCTTCCTCACCACCGTATACCAGGAATGCATCCTTAGTATTGCGAAGATACTTGAGAATGTTCATGACCGCTGTCCAGTGTGCTTCTCCTGGACTTCCTTGGTATCTTTTGGTCACGCTTAAAGCAAATGAGACATCAGGTCTAGTACATATCATGGCATACATGATGGATCCAATCGCAGAAGCGTATGGAACCTTCATCATGAGTTCCTTCTGCTCGGGAGTAGAAGGACTCTGGCTCTTGGAAAGAACCGTGCCAGGTGTCATAGGTAAACATCCTTTCTTTGAGTTAGACATGCTAAATCGATCAAGGATTTTATCTATATATGTACTTTGATTCAGACCTATTAACTTTCTTGATCTATCTCGGTAGATTCTTATGCCAAGGACATAACTTGCATCCCCTAAGTCTTTCATGGAGAAGTTCTCGCTCAACCACGTCTTTACAGAAGTGAGAGCGGGAATATCGTTACCCATTAACAATATGTCATCGACATATATATAAGATTAGGAATACTATTACACTCCCACTGACCTTCTTGTATACACAAGATTCGTCAGAGTTCTTCTCAAAACCAAAACTGGAAATGGTTTCGTCGAAACGTATGTACCAACTCCGAGATGCTTGTTTCAATCCGTAGATTGAACGTTGTAGCTTACAAAATTTGGCAGACTTACCAGCAATTTGAAAACTGTTAGGCTGTGTCATGAAGACATCTTCTTTGAGGTTCCCGTTAAGGAAAGCCGTCTTGACGTCCATCTGCCGAATTTCGTAATCGTAATAGGCTGCAATCGCAAGCATTATCTGAATGGATTTCAACATAACAATTGGAGAAAAGGTTTCATCATAGTAAATTCCGTGGATTTGCCTATAACCTTTTGCTACCAATCGAGCTTTGAAGGTATGAACCTTCCCGTCTACGTCTGTCTTCTTTTTGAAGACCCACTTGCATCCAATGGGTTTTACCCCTTCGGGTGCATCAACCAAGGTCCAGACTTGGTTTGTGTACATAGACTCCATTTCAGATTTCATGGTTTCGAGTCATAGATCGGATTCGGGGGATGTAATTGCCTCGAGATAGGTCTCTGGTTCGCCTTGATCTACCAACAAGACGTCACCTTCATCAGACATGAGAAATCCATATCTGACCGGAGGATTACGTATCCGGTCTGACCTACGTGGTATATATCTTGAGCAATTTGAGGTTCAATTGCCTGATCTCTTTGCTCAGGTTCCAACACTATCAGGACTTCTTCGTGTGGTTCTCGAATTTCTTCGAGTTCTACCTTTCTCCCACTAGTGATAGCAGAAAGAAACATCTTCTCAAGGAAGGTTCCATTCCGAGCAACGAAGACTTTCTTATCAGATGGATGATAGAACTCATACCCTCTAGTTTCCTTGGGGTATCCCAAAAAACCTACTTTATTAGATTTAGGCTCTACCTTACTAGACGTCATGAGACGTTTTACATAAGCTTCACAGCCCTAAATCTTAAAGTATGAGAAACTCGATTTTCTCCCACGCCATAGTTCGTATGGTGTGCTCTCGACAGCTTTAGATGGAACTCTGTTGAGTGTGTGTGCTGCTGTTTTCAATGCATATCCCCAAAATGATTCTGGCAATGTTGTCAGACTAATCATGCTCCGGACCATGTCAAGCAAAGTCTGATTTCTCCTATCAGACACTCCATTTAACTGAGGTGTCCCCGGTGGAGTGAGTTGGGATAAGATCCCATGCTCTTTCATATAGTCATCGAATTCCAGGCTTACGTATTCACCTCCTCGATCCGAGCGGAGGGTCTTTATACTTTTGCCTAATTGTTTTTCTACTTCGTTCCTGAATTCTTTGAATTTGTCAAAGCATTCTGATTTGTGTTTCATGAGATACACATATCCATATCTACTAAGGTCATCAGTAAATATAACGAAGTACGAATAACCACCTCTAGCAACAGTGTTAATTGGACCACACACATCGGAGTGTATGAGGCCAAATAAGTCACTTGCCCTTTCACCGTGACCAGTGAATGGAGCCTTTGTCATTTTACCAAGTAAACAAGATTTACATACATCATATGACTGGAAGTCAAATGAATCAAGTACACCTGGGCGATGTAACTTAGATATGCATTTCTTGTTAATGTGGCCCAAACGACAATGCCATAGGTACGCAAGATTCAAACTGTTAGGTTTGTTTCTCTTAACATCTACGTTATATATAAATATATTGCGGTATCCATGTCAAGGAAATAGAGACCGTTGGTCATTTTTGCACTTGCATAAAATATATCATTTCTAAAGACAGAAAGAGTTTTGTCTTTTACAACGAACGAAAATTCTGCTTTGTCAAGGCAGGATACAGAAATGATGTTTCTGCTCATACTAGGTACAAACAGACAATTATTCAAATGCAATATAAGACCACTAGGTAGAGATAAACTATAGGTTCCGACGGCCAATGCATAGACGAGTGCGCCATTGCCGACTTTTAGTTGTATCTCTCCCTCCGTCAATTGTCTACATTCATGCAAGTTCTGCATAGAAGTACAGATGTGNTTAATGTGGCCCAAACGACAATGCCAAAGGTACGCGAGATTCAAACTGTTAGGTTTGTTTCTCTTAACATCTACGTTATATATTGCGGTATCCATGTCAAGGACATAGAGACCGTTGGTCATTTTTGCACTTGCATAAAATATATCATTTCTAAAGACAGAAAGAGTTTTGTCTTTTACAACGAACGAAAATCCTGCTTTGTCAAGGCAGGATACAGAAATGATGTTTCTGCTCATACTAGGTACAAACAGACAATTATTCAAATGCAATATAAGACCACTAGGTAGAGATAAACTATAGGTTCCGACGGCCAATGCATAGACGAGTGCGCCATTGCCGACTTTTAGTTGTATCTCTCCCTCCGTCAATTGTCTACATTCATGCAAGTTCTGCATAGAAGTAAAGATGTGAGAACCACATCCAGTATCCATCACCCAAGAGGTGATATCAGACATATTGACTTCGATAACGTAAATACTTGAGTTTTGGGGCTGACCTTGGTAAAGGTCTCTTAAGCATTGTAACATAGAACGCACTTCCATGTCCGCGTGGAGCCTTTGGAGCTCCGCGGTCATACTGGCCATAATGATACACTTTACATCTTGTGCGTCGTCCTCATACTTCTTGAAAGAAGTGAGTTCGGACGCACGAGCATTTGCATCAGGGGTCTTGGGAGGATCTGTTTCGAGAATGTAGAGTTTCCTCTCACAGTCAAGAACGATTCAGAGGTTCATCTCCCAGTCAAGAAAGTTGGTCCCGGATAACTTGTTGTTTCCAGGATTTATCGCAGGTTGAAAGGGTTGTTGTTGTTGTTTGCCATCTACAGAAAGTTTTGCAAACTAGGTTATCTATCATGTTTAATAATTAATTAGGCCTTTAATTAATTATCTCCTACTATTTTTAACAAATCAATAACCCTCGATATTGATTCAGAGATTTCTAGCGAAAACTCTAGTGGGCCAAGATCCATATTTCATTATCTTGCGTTCCGCTTGGGTGTTACTCCACAAGACAAGTATTTAGGTAGAAACATAGTTCCACCTGATGAGCCGTGTTCTCAACTTTTAGTCTGGTGTTGGGCGAACAATATTACTACAACCGGACTAGAACACCTTTTCACCATACTTGTAATTGGCTGAGGCACGTCTTACAAGCAGACTACTTTGGTTAGGAACAAAGTTCCAATTAAATCATAAAGATCCAACTCCTGGACGGATGATTGAGTAAAATCATTCGACTTGTCATTGATGACCCCAAGTTACTGCCTCTGAGTCGTCCATCCATTTGACCGAGACTCAGTTAAGTCTAACCCAACGTGCGACATTGACCGCGCTATGGCGGTTCCCGTAACTAGCTTAACATACACCGGACTATGCTCTGTTGAGGCTGAGTACATGACAGTGCACATTAGTCGGATAGGTGCCGGGCGTCAGAAGGCAACAGACTTAATATTCGCGAGGGATTTATAATTTCGATCTCACCTAACGACATGGTCGCGCACATGTCCGTTACTAGAGCTCAACATACATTCAACATGCATTCACAAAACGCAGTAAATAAACGTGTAATGATTGTGGCCCCTAAAAGAAAAATAAAACGATAGCTCCCATTGACTTTCGGGCACTTGGACTTCAGGATATCTCCATCCTTTTAGATTTCTTCAAACTGACTTCAAATCTTTTCGTCTTCAAACCACCAAATGAGAAAAGAATCCTCGGCTGAGGTAAGATAGATAAATAGATTTACAACTAAGAGATAAGGCACGACACGTAGGCTGTATTATAATCAAATAAACTATAGACACAATCATCCACCATGCATATCATATATACAGGCAATAGAGATATACATACATCGGGTGAGCCGCGCTCACCCTAGACATTCTTAGAAAAATAATACGGGTGTAAATGTTTTCTAAAACTCATAAAATTAAATTAGATGTCCAAATAAATCTAATTAAATTTTATAAAATCATTTTATATACTCTGGATATTCTGCCAGCATAAAAAAATCCAGAATATTCCAAATGACCAAAATGCCCTTTTTGCAAAATTATTTTCAATAAGGCAATAAAATTTTGAAACAATTTTGCAAAAATCATGAAAATTAAATTTCAACTTCCAGTAGTTATTTTTAACATTTATAAACCTGGAAATGAAATTTCCAAAATTTATAAATCATTATTTCCAAAATATATTAGTTAAATCTCAATAAGTTATAAAAAGCCATTTAAATTATTTTCGAAAACATTTAATGATAAAAATTTAATATTTTGAAAAACATTATTTTTATTACTGAGATATAACGTTCCAAAATATATATTAGTCATTTATGTAATTAAAATACAAATATATATAATATTTCGGTAATAATACCGAGTACATATATAAATATATATTTATTTAATTACTCCCTCCGTCCTAGAGTATTTTTCCACTTTCATTTTTACACACCATCCAATACACTTCTTTAATCCATTTTATCTTGTAATTTGTTTATTAAAAAATTATAGAAATTATATATTAATAATCTATATGTTAAGACAAATCAAACAAGATCACACATGACTATATTTAGGCTTACACATTGAGAGAATTTGATGAGTCAAAGTGATTAGATGAACAGTTCCAAAAGTCAAAAGTGGACGAATATAGCGGGACAGAGGTAGTACTAACTAATATTATTTTGTACAATATATTTATCAACAACCTTATTTAACTTAGAAGTAATATTTCTAAGCTTAATAAAGTTCATTTTGAATTTTTCCATATTATTTTCGGTTTTCACCTAAATAAATACAATAAATTCAAACTAGGAAATAATACATTCAAAAATTACAATATAATTTTATCAATCATAAAATAATGTTTTATGTCCAAATAAAATTATATTTACTATTTCTACAATATATATAAATATATATTTCTAAAAAATCAATATATATATATATATATATATATATATTACTGGTAGAAATAAAATAAATAAATTTAAAATTCATTTTCAATGATATATTTAATTCCAATACTTATTCCAAGACTAAATTAAATAATTTTACTAATTTTTGAATTTTAATAATTACCAAGTTAAAACTTTGACTTTTAAAATTCAAAAAGTCAAACTTAAAACTATAGTTTTGTACGTTGGCTCTAATACCACTAAAAGATAACCATGCAAGGATAGGCAGCGGAATATAAAAATTTTAACATCCTAACATGATTATCTTTCCCAGAATCACGTACTAAAACTTATAGTAAATGAGAAATTTATATCTTTCTCTGTAAGCGGTAAAAACGAAGAAGTCGTAGGAAGAGCGTTGAAAGTGCAAACGTAACCGTTCAAGCATCTGGTCTCCAACTTTCACACACGAACAACGTCGGAGTCTACCACAATCTTTATGCTAGTAAAGATTATAGTAGTATAAAATATAAAGATTAAAATTGGGATAATAATAATCTTGTATATTTCTATAGAAAATATTTATTATAATATTTAGAAAATATTATGGATATTTTCTATACACAAAGTGATAATAATGGAACAAAGTAGCAATTTTCTCTCTCAAGAAAATAATGGCCGAAAGCTTTTTTTCTTAAAACTTATTCCCTTTGGCTAATGGTGTGTTGTATATATAAAACAAATGTTCCATTAATTTTGTCATTAGCTAAAGGACAAATCAATTAGCCCACTCAAAATCAATCAAAGAAAATGTGTGATCCATTAAAATCTCTTAAATAGACCTGGAAAAATAGAACTGGAACCGATTACCCAAATCGAAATATCCGAAACCAAAACCGAAATGATCCGAAAAATGAATATCCGATCTATAACCAAAAACCCGAAATGATCCGAATCGAACCGAAACCGAATTAAATAATTCATATCCGATTTAAATCTGAAACCGATTGGATCCGAAACTGATAATATCCAAACTGATTAAACCCAAAACCGAATATATCTGAAACCGATTAAACCCGAAACCAATAATTCCCGAAACCGATTAGATCCGAAACTGATAATATTCGAACCCGATTAGAACTAAAACTGATAAATTCAGAACTGTGTTTGCCTTTCAATAAGCATGTTATATTTTAAATTTTTACTTTTAATTTTATCATTTGAAGTAATTACATTAATTTCACATTCCCTCATAAAATGGATTATCATCTTGAAAAAATTACAAATTTTCATGCCTTAAATTTATTATATTTAAAAATTGAAGATAAGTTATGCATATAAATGATAATGCACATCCAAATAAAATCTCCGTAATTTTTAAATAATGAAGTGTGATATTCTTTTTGGGACGAAAGGATTATATGATGAATTGTATGGAATAACTAGATTTTATCATAATTTCATCCCATTACAATAAATGTTATTGGTTTAAGAGTTAATTTGATTAGTTTCAAACCAATTCACTCAATATTAGTAAATAACATTAGATGTTAGTGTTAGCATTTT